CCTGTGCGCTGGAAAATATATCTTTTAAGTTCTTTGGTTTTTTTTGCAAGTAAAAAAAGTGGAAAAATCCAGGCAAAAATTAAGGAAGACAACAGCGATATACACGCATACAACTGAATAAAATTAGCAACACACACATGCGATGGTCGTCCTTAAAGTCCACAAACACACACGCACTAGGGCATTTACATATCGCCAGCAACACTAACAACACGGCCGCGTCTGTGTCTGTGTCTGTGTGCATTGGCAAACATTTGACAGTTGCAACAGCAACAAAGTGCTACTCACAAAACAACAAAAAAATTAATAAAAAAAATAATAAAATAAACTGGTAAAAAAGGCCAAAGTAAACTGCCAAAAGGCAGAAAACAAACAAAAAACAACGAACATTTTGTTAGTCCTCTCGTGCTCTAAAAAAATAGGGTAAAATAAAAGAAAACGGGAAAAGTGTTGCCAACATTTGCAGCGCATTTAGATGAAAACTTTTGCGAAAGTTGTAAACTCTGCTCTCTATGTATTTAAATGCTGAAACGGGTGGCAAGGGAGGCAAAGGGGGCTTAATTCTATGGCAAATTAAAGGCGCGTCCAACAACTTGTTGGCATTAAATTAGCACATCTTTGTTTGCTGCCAGAACGAGATTTAATTAAGATTTTAATTAATTTGTTTGCCTGTGAAACAAAATGGTGAGCAAACTGCAGGCTATTTGCGTAAGCCAAATAGTATTTTATTTAATTAAAGGTTCGCGTTCAAACTTTGTTTTAGCGTAGTTTTTTAGCACTATTTGATGAGCTTACCAACTGAACGAATTACTCTAATCAGTGTGAAAAGTAGTGAAATGCAAGAGGTAAGTTTGTAAGCCCCTTTTAAAGCTATGCAACACAAAACTTATACAATTTTAAAAGGGGCTTACGAACCAACTTGCTTTTCACTCCTTCACTTCACTTTGCTAAAAGAAGGTTATAGCATACTTTTCACCTGAATTTGGTTTTATTAAAAGAAAATGTACAGTTCCCATCTGAAGCCAAGGAAATCAACCTTTGTGCCTTTCCGAAAATGAAAATTCCTTTCTGCCTGATTACCAGTGAAATTTCTCGATCTTCTGCAAATCAAATCTATATCATACGGTTTTTGAGTCCCTGGCAGGTGGCTTAATTGCCTTTGTCCTTGGCTTTTGGGCTTATGGCCAAAAATAGCACGTCTTCTGCCAGCAATAATCGGCAGCTTTTGTTTTCCATTTACTAGATTACACGTGCCTCCCATATGCATACTTTTCACCAATATCCAATCCAATTCTGATGAAATACTCTTTCTTGGTATGTCTCTATATTTGATAATACTCCGTCGACAGCTGGAAGCAGCCACAAAAAGTGTGCACAGGAAAACATGGGTATGATCTTCTAAGATTTAGTATAAAATTGTATGTAAAGGTTTCTAAAAGTATGCAGTGCAAAAATAGGAATATCCATTTGAATCCTATTTTCGGGCTACATATATTTTGGCAAACTTTTAGAAACCTTTGATGAAAAATATACATGTGTGACTAGTCTTTTGAAAACTTTTAAAAATGTGTTTACAAGTAGACAGTGCAAAATTACGACTTCCTTTTGAAACTAAGTTTCAGATTCAAAACATATTGTTGCATACTCTTGGGCACTTCGACACAAAAGTCATTTTAAATATGAAAAGCACACATAAATTGCGTTTAAAATCACTTAGGTTTTGACATTTTTCAAAAAGGGGTCTAAAAGTATGCAGTAAATATTATAGGTAATTTTAAGTATGGAAACTATCCATAATGAATGGATCAACAAAACCGCTTCTGTTTTCGTTCAGTGTGGATTTACCGCTTAATCTTCAGCTTTTGTTCCGAACTGCTCTTGTGCCTGCACTCAGCAATTCCACACTTTCACAAGGTGCACTTAACAAGGTGCTCTAAGGCAAAAACGGAGTGTAAGTAGAAGTGGGCTGAGTATTTTCGGTTGGGCGGTGGGCGTGACTGGTGGGCGGGGCCGGGGCCCGGGCATTGTTGGCCATACCCTTTTAATGTGGCACAATCATGGCACGAACTTACCTCAATCACATGTGGGAATTCAATTAAATAAACGAGAGCTGCAGCGAAACGAGCTGGGGCTGCAATAAATGCTTAGATTTGCAGGCAAGTGCAACAACAACAGCGGGGATAGCCATATCCCATATCCCATATCCCGTGTCTGCATCTGCACACATACGTATTAAGGATATAGCCACATACTCTAGCACGCACACAGACAGACAGACAGTGGGGATCCCCAAGCGACCGGAAGTCACTTTTAGCTAACAACGGAAGTTGCAAACGTCTGCTTGTTGTTGTTATTGCTACTCCTGGTGGCCATTGGGCTACACAGCGAGAGAATATAAGTAATTATCAGATTATAAAAACTATTTTCTTACCTTTGAAGTTACTCTTAAGTGTTTGAGTACTATTAAAAATTGATCTATTTATAAATTCCCAAACAGAAAAGGCATATGATTTTATTTCAGCTAAAGAATAACCACTTACAACATTAGTTTACGCATCGATTCCCAATTTAATTCACTTTCAGTGCATTTATTTTGGCCATATGCTGTTTGTAATTTTCATATTCCGAATAATTGATGGGGACTGCCCAATCGCAGCCTGAAATTCGAGATCCCTGTGTTTTTCTGGCTGTGCAAATGTAAAAGTTAATTTTCCATTGGTCATAGCCGCTATATTTAGGTCTGCCAAAGAAAGCAGCGAATCAAGGATTGGCGATGGCCATCAGGCGTGGAATGGAGACCATCAAAAGCGGAGATAAAATATGGCTGCTGTGTTTTATAATCGCAAGTGAGCAGCAGCAGCAGCACCAGCACCAGCAATAGCAGCAACAGCAGCAACATCATCAGCACGGCAGCAACATCATCATCCGGAGCAGCCGAAGTCACTCGATTCGGTTGTCGGTTGTCGGTTCGTTTTACATGGCCGAGCTGGGTCCTTTGGCCAGGACCAACGTTTCCCTTAGTCGAGTGAAAGTTCTTCAGCGCAGCGGACGTGCCAGCCAGGAATTAGATCAAATCCCCTTTTTTGGCGCGCTTTCAAAGTGTTGAATTGAGTTCAGTTTCGTTTGTTTTTTTCTTATTTTTTTTGTGTTGCCTTTTGGTTTCGGTTTGGTGAAGTTAGCTAAAAAATTGAAACAAAAATGAGGGACTATCCTTCGGTGCCCAATGTGTTTCGCGTGGCCTCCACGCACAGCATCAACAGCGAGAATCCCTACAACAACGTCCGGCCAGCGAATGCCAACTGCAACACGATCGAAAGGCAGCCGCTGGCCATCCACCAGTTGACCACCAGTGCGTCCATCGAGCACAGTCATCCATCGCAGCAGCAGCAGCAACAGCAGCAGCAACTGTTGCTGCACCACCAACAGCAGCAGCAACAGCAGCAGCAGCAACACCTGCACCACTCACCCTATGCAACATTGCCGCGGGGGCAGCGATTTGCACCGCAACAACATCAGCCAACTGGCCTGATCAACACCATCTCCGGCAGTATACCAGCCACGGGTTTCAGTTCTCTGGCAGGCAGCTTCAGTGATCTGCAGTTGAACAACATTAGCAGCATGGGCAATCCCAACTGGAGCAACAACAGCAACCAACGACAGCAGCAACATCGCCAGCAGCAGCAGCAGCAACAGCAGCAGCAACAGCGACAGGTGGCCTCCTTGAGTCGCCATCAGCCAGCCAAGGAGGTGCAGCAGCAGCAGCAACAGCAACAGCAGGAGCAACAGCAACATGTGCAGCGACAGCAGCAGCATGGCCTGGCCAGTGGAGTTGCTGGTGCTCCCGATCCTCAAAGTGGCACTAGCAACATAACCACCGTCCACGGAGGTTACCTGTGGCTCCTCACACCTGTTGCAGCCAGGTTAGTATGGGATCATAATACAATATATGGTAATATACTCAAAAACATTTTTAAAAAGATGTGTTCCATTTAAATATTTGTTATATTTTGTTTAACATTTTAACAATTTAAGCTGTGCTATAGTGTTTGTAATTTAAGGAAAAATGTTTGCTCAAATTTCAACAAACCGAAAAAGCAAGAACTCAAAATATGAATGTTAACAGATATGCTTTAGGCTGCCGTGACTTGTTTTCATAATATATCAGGTCAAATAAAATTTAAGTGAGTGTCATATGACCACAATTAGGGGAGAAATTATAAATATAAAATTTGTATCACGCTGAAATTTATCCTCAATATTTTCACTAATTTGAACAGATATGTATGTTGCTCCCAGAAAAATCGAGACTGCGTATTGAATGTTTCTATATATATTTACAACATATTCTTTACCCAAGTTATTGCATTTTATTTGTAGCCAAGTTTCGAGTGTTGTTTTGTTCAGCAAAGCTTTGGCGCCCTTTGTGAGTGACTTTTCGCAGGAGAGCTAAAGGGTCCAATGTCACAGATTTTTAGCAAAGGCAAATGCTCGAAATTCCTGCAGGGAAAGAACTAAATAGTCGAATCCTTTAAACCGATGGCGATACAGCCTGAATGCCAGCAGCTTGAATTCCTGCACAAGACGCACACACAATTTCCGCCCGTTCCATTTATTTTTAAAGAAACTGAGGAAACAGGTTTCACGTGCTCCGCAACTGGGAAATGGCAGCTCGTCCTTGTCACAGGAGCAGCCGGGACGTAGGACATCCAGACATCCAGACATCCAGGCGCCTCCTTCATCCTTGTTGCTTGACAAATAATTGTGTTAGCGACACAAATCACTGCAAAGTGGGCTTAATTTGTTCGCAAACTATTTCGCACGAAAGTGCACGGGGAAAATAACGTACGTGAAACCCACTCAACTAACTACACTTTCTTTGAATCCTTAGAAAAAACAAAAATATATCCAATTAATTGTATGTTTTTGTTTATTTATCTTTCTAGTTTTAAAGCTACGATTTCTTCAAAGAAGAACAGCTGAACTTCTTTTAACAATAAGTACTATATTTACATGCATTACACTTTAATGTTCTATCACAATATTTTTTCACCGTGTAACAGAATGGCAGTAAAAGTGAGAGAGGTAGGACAGATTTATTCTGGCATTGTTCTTTGCCCAAGTTGCTTAACTTCATTCGGTTTCGAGATTCTGAGCTTCAGCACATTGCGCTCGCAGGCTCTGGGGGCGTGCATGCGTTTAAAGCCCGCTGTGCGGAAGACCTGGCCACACTTTGCGCACTTGTGTGACCAGCTGTGGTGCCCGGCCACGCGCTGATGCTTGTACAAAGTGTGGCTAAAAGGGATATAAAAAATATATATTAGTCGGATTACTTATTTGTGACACTAGAAAACATAGTCTCCTATACTGTTACTACAAATTTAAAATGGTAAAGACAAGTGATAATATAAATGGTTGGTTTTCCTAAATAATTCGATCGTAATCTTAAACAACATTTTTATACGCAAGACAATTTTCCTGCAGTTCTGGCAGGCCTCATTATTTAATTAAAAAACTCACCGTAGTATAAAGTTTTGCTTGCAGCTTTCTATTGGGCAAATAAAAGTATTCTGGTTAACGTTCTGGTTAATGTTCTGGTTTACGGTTTGGCTTGAGTTACTATTCGAATTCTTGGATTTCCTCATTGATCTTGTCCTGGTCACCGCTGCCTTCGATTCAGGCCCCTCACTATCCGTGTCTTCCGATTCCTTGGGGGACTCTTCCACTTTGAGCTCCTCCTCTTCCGACGACGAAGAAGAACTGTCATCGTCAGCGGGCGCAGGAGGGCGAATTCCACCGACTTGAACCGCAAAATCTGATGCGAATTTGGCTACAGTGGCGGCCGTTGGAGGACGACCACGTCGTGCCCTGCCATTGTGGCTGAACTCATGGGTGGCCTTTTCCGGATTGTAGCGGGGCATCAGGACCTTGTGGTTTCTTCCCTCGATGTCGCGGCGCACCACAATGGACAGTCGGCTGCTGGACAGCCAGGTGTCGTTGTCCAGTTGCTCCCGCGTCAGCTTGGCCAGCTGGCGGTGGGACGGATAGCGTCGTCGAGTGGTGTCCGGGTTGAAGACCTGCAGCTCGGCTGGTTCCGCCGGTCGCTCGTAGGGGGGCAAACTGGGATGGAGCTCTCTAGCCGCTAAAAGAGCAGGAAAACTGTCTATAATGAGTATGCCATACCTACTGGAAGACTCACCTTCGTAACGTTCGTAAAAGTCGCGGCGTTTGTTGTTGTAGCGATCCGAAAACAAGCTGCGCATCATACGAACTATTTAAATGTATATTTCTAAAAACTTAAGTCGCCACATGCAAACAAAAACTAATACGGAACTAAAGTGAGAAACTAGTGAACTATCAAATGTCAATGAACTGTAAAGCCATCTGTGATGGAAAAGGGTCCTACTTATTTTATTTTAAGTGTTGAAAAATATACTCTAGTATCCTAGATAATACCAAAAAAAGGAAACATAACCAAGAAAGCGTGTTTAAAAATGACTTTTAATAAAGTCCATAGTTTCCCGAATTAACTCTTAATAACAGCTTTATTAAGAGCGCATAATTAATATGTCTTTTATTCGATTAAATAATAGTGTCCGCTTGTGCTGAAGATCCATAAATCAATTGGCAATTTTTAAAAACAATATTGAGTACTATAACAACACATAAAATCCATCTCTGCACTTGTGAGTACACTCGTTGCCGAATTGGGCAAATATTGGCGTTCGAGTGCACTCATGAATGTATTCACGAATACCTGGGCGACGAGGTGACGATCCCTCTAAAATAAAAAATACCCACCACCCTTTGACCTTTTTTATTCGCATATCCAATTCTTCTTTTTCGCACATTTTTCAGCGCCAACAATTTTATTTGTGCGCTCCTCTTTTTTGGGTGGCGACATTTATTTGCATATCACTGCGTGTGTGTGTGTGTGTGAGTGGGTGGACGGGGAGGCCTCGTGCACATTAACTTTCTTGTTTTTGTGGATTTTTGGCCTCGTTTTTGGCAATCCATCCCGCCCCTCCCCCAACCACAAAACAGGTGGAAGTATTTTTTAATCAGCAGCCTCAACACAATTTTTGGAAAGCCCGGAGAACCTGGGATAGGCATTTCCCTTGATTACACTCCGAAAGCACCCCCCACCCCCCAACTCACCACCCACATCGATTTTGATTTAGAGAATGCAACTTTCTCTACTCTCCAACAGCGCCAGAAAAAAAACATCGTTGAAAAACTAGGCTTTAGGTCAGCCAAAATGGTAGTTTACCATACTGAGCGATTAAAACTTTTCACATTTCCTTATTCTCTTGAAGGTTTTAAAAAAATTTGCAAGTCTATTTAAAAATTTATAATAAGAAGCATTAAAGTAATACTAATTTAAAAATAATGGCAACACTAACTTCAAGAAACTTTATTCAGTGACCCTTATCAAATACCCTTAATGATTTCAAAAAAAAGAAGTAATAATTGGAAATATAAATATATACAATAATATATATAATATCATATAAATATATAAAATAATTTAATAATTAGAACTTCAATTACAGGCAAAAATAAAAACGTTCCATTTTGTTTTTTGATTTTGAGAAAATATCCACCTGATTTTAAAATGTTAAATAATTGTGTAGGTATTTTCTTTGATTTTTCAAGCAATTGAGTAATTATGTGTAATAATTAGTAGTTTGATATTTGAAAAATATGTGAAATTTCGGCAAGTGTCTGATTTACCTCCGCTCGTTTCCTGCAGCATATCGGTGGCCATTGTCATCGCCGCCCTGGCCGGACCCCAGTGGCTCTTCACGGAGGAGAAGCTGCCCAATGCCAACTACAATGGGACGGCCAACTTCAAAGCCATGGACGATGGCGCCTACATCACCAAGTACACCAAGTCCAGTCTCTGGATATTGTGCACCAGTCTGCCAGGTGGGTGTTGCAGAACCGCATTCCTTTTCCTTTCCAGCTCTGCCGGCGTCGACAAAGAAGACGGATGTGTCCTGAAGTGGTTGGGCTTTTCGGTTTGGGTTGGTGGTTTCATTTTCTTTTTTTGAGTTGGTGTCCTGCGGTGTCCTGTGGCGCCCTGCCCCTTTTTTGACCGAATGAGGAACAATGACGCGTGCGCATCGTCTGGATTTTTGCGGTTTTAATAACTACGGCGACGTCAGCCCGAGGGTTCTGTTCTAGATTTGGCCAAATTAAACTGCAGTCCGTCGGCTAGTCAATCAATCAATCAGTCAGTCAGTCACTCAATTATGGCCCCACACCGACAGTTGTCCCTTTATTTTATTTTCCTGATAAGCCAAGACTACTCGGAGCTCCAGTTTTGGGTTGTTTGGATCCCTTTACATCCATGGGCATTTGATATTATCTCAAGATATATAAAGTAAATCAGGAAATATTAATGGTATCAGTGCACAGGCTAAGCCTGTAATGCTAATACTGCACTTATAGATTCCATATCTTGAGTTATTGGATTCCGATTGAGACGTGGGATACCTCTATGAATTTGTGATTAAATTCTCTAATGTTCTACATTAAATTATTACTTTTTAACGAGGGTCACAATTTTAACCCATTTTCATGTTAGATTTTTCCGTATTTCCAATGGTTTTCAGAGTGGGAACCCAAAACTGCACTTCTAAATTCCATAACTTTCGCTATTGTAACCCGATTTTGATGTGGGATACCTCTATGAATTTGTGGTTCAATTTTCTAATATTCTACATTCCAACATTTTCTTTTTAAGAGGGTCCAAATTTTAGCCTCTTTCCATGTTCGATTTTTCCTTATTTCCAATGGTTTTCAGAGTGGGAACACAAAACTGCACTTCTAAATTTCATAACTTTCGCTATTGTAACCCGATTTAAACGTGGGATACCTCTATGAATTTGTGGTTCAATTTTCTAATATTCTACATTCAAACATTTCTTTTTTAAGAGGGTCCTAATTTTAACCCATTTTCATGTTCGATTTTTTCGTACTTCCAATGGTTTTCAGAGTGGGAACCCAAAACTGCACTTCTAAATTCCATAACTTTCGCTATTGTGACTCGATTTTGACGTGGGATACCTCAATGAATTTGTGGTTCAATTTTCTAATATTGTACATTCTTACATTTCCTTTTTAAGAGGGTCCAAATTTTAGATCTTTTCCATGTTCGATTTTTCCGTATTTCCAATGGTTTTCAGAATGGGAACCCAAAACTGCACTTCAAAATTTCATAACTTTCGCTATTGTAACCCGATTTAAACGTGGGATACCTCTATGAATTTGTGGTTCAATTTTCTAATATTCTACATTCAAACATTTCTTTTTTAAGAGGGTCCTAATTTTAACCCATTTTCATGTTCGATTTTTCCGTATTTCCAATGGTTTTCAGTTTGGGGACCCAAAACTGCACTTCTAAATTCCATAACTTTCGCTATTGTGACTCGATTTTGACGTGGGATACCTCAATGAATTTGTGGTTCAATTTTCTAATATTCTACATTCCAACATTTTCTTTTTAAGAGGGTCCAAATTTTAGCCTCTTTCCATGTTCGATTTTTCCTTATTTCCAATGGTTTTCAGAGTGGGAACACAAAACTGCACTTCTAAATTTCATAACTTTCGCTATTGTAACCCGATTTAAACGTGGGATACCTCTATGAATTTGTGGTTCAATTTTCTAATATTCTACATTCAAACATTTCTTTTTTAAGAGGGTCCTAATTTTAACCCATTTTCATGTTCGATTTTTCCGTATTTCCAATGGTTTTCAGTTTGGGGACCCAAAACTGCACTTCTAAATTCCATAACTTTCGCTATTGTGACTCGATTTTGACGTGGGATACCTCAATGAATTTGTGGTTCAATTTTCTAATATTGTACATTCTTACATTTCCTTTTTAAGAGGGTCCAAATTTTAGATCTTTTCCATGTTCGATTTTTCCGTATTTCCGATGGTTTTCAGAATGGGAACCCAAAACTGCACTTCAAAATTTCATAACTTTCGCTATTGTAACCCGATTTAAACGTGGGATACCTCTATGAATTTGTGGTTCAATTTTCTAATATTCTACATTCAAACATTTCTTTTTTAAGAGGGTCCAAATTTTAGCCTCTTTCCATGTTCGATTTTTCCGTATTTCCAATGGTTTTCAGTTTGGGGACCCAAAACTGCACTTCTAAATTCCATAACTTTCGCTATTGTAACCCGATTTTGCTGTGGGATACCTCTATGAATTTGTGGTTCAATTTTCTAGTATTCTACATTCCAACATTTCCTTTTTAAGAGGGTCCTAATTTTAACCCATTTTCATGTTAGATTTTTCCGTAACTACAATGGCTTTCAGAATGGGAACCCAAAACTGAACTTCTAAATTCCATATCTTGAGTTATTGGATTCCGATTTTTAAGTGGGATACCTCTATGAATTTGTGATTAAATTCTCTTATGTTCTACATTGAAAGTTTACTTTTTAACGAGGGTCTAAACTCTAACCAGTTTTCATGTTCAATTTTTCCGTATTTACAATGGCTTTAAGAAGGGGAGCCCAAAACTGCACATCCATAACTTGAGTTATTTGATACCGATTTAAATGTGAGGTACCTGTATGAGTTTGTGTTTAAATTCCCTAATGTAACCTAATATAATAACCCTTGAAACATAATCATTTGGCCTCCTTTAGTCAATTCACATGCTTATTTCGCAGCTCTGATAAAATAATAATACATTATATTTTCTTTTTCCATTAAAGAGCTGTGCTTTTGCGTAATTGTGGGAAAGAATACATTTAATATTAAGTAATAAGCTTTTGTTTATTTATAGGCCAAGATGTTGACTCCTCGTACAACTGCGTTAAGATAGACTACTTTTCCAACGAAGGCTATCAGCCGGATCCACACGACTCAACAGCAGCAATACCCTGTAAGTACACATCAACAACAGAACTTTTCGTTTGGTTCTTACAACAAATACTTAATACACTTTTTATGTTTACACATTTTTGTTTGTTTTAAGATGGTGTAAAATATATTTGCCTCCTTGGCTCATTCGAATTTCGGCCTAATATTAACAATAATTTGTTAGGCCGCATTTTCTTATTAATATGCTTTAATAAGAGAATATGCTCTATGGAAAATAACAAGCTGATGGTATTATAAATGATCAAAGAATCAAACGACCCACAGTAGCTACATCCCTAAAAACAATTTTTTTCTTCGTGTGCAATTGCAATTGATGGACTTCTGGCTTGATGAATTAATCTTAGCTGCCGCGTTTTAAGATTCAACTAAGCCTTAATGGGCTTAACTGGCATTTGGCATTTAAACAGGTGAATGCCTTTCCCCCTTTCATCTGGTCCCC